GCTTCCTTAACTAAGGTGTCTCAAAATGAATGCAATATTCCTCCTGCGATGGTTATCAAAACCAGTTAAAGGACTGTTTGCTTTTAATATGGTGTAATGCCTGTCTTTACAAGGGAAAACCATTTCTGGATTTTCCCCAACTGCTCTGCTGCATTTCCAGCTCTTTTTGATTTTGCGAGCTATTTCCTTACCATCCTTTTTGACATTATTAAGAATCACGACTCTTCATTGCAACTAATTTCCCTTGAGCAACGACTCAGGAACCAATCAGGGCAACTGCAGTTTCTTTTCTAGCTTTATTTCTAGTCTTTAGGTGTTCAGGAAGACAAGAGTTCCTAATGATTCCTCCAAATCATTAACACAAATGAAAACGTGGGTACTGGAGCGCACACCAATACCAATTCATGAGTTACCTATTCCTAGCTTTGAGATATATTAACTATACCTAGAAAGATCAGGTTGAAATCATTCTGTAGATCGATAGATCCACCAGCTCTACATGCCAAGTTGCTTTTTCAATTAGCCTGCAAATTAGTGCAAAGGACAATTAACGTTTTCCTTGACCCATTTGTTCACATCAAATATTTGGGAACAGAAAGGCAATAAGAAAATCAAAACCCACATGTAATAGTGTTATAAAGATAAGCAACACCCAGCAGACAAACAGATGGTGAGTGGCAGCACTGACCACAATGAAAAAACCCACTTGATCCATCAGTATAAAGCCCCAGGGAGCCTCTGAGGGATTAGATGGGTTGATTAGGCATCTTTAAGCCAATTACGCCATTTTAAACTATTTTCAATTATTCAATGCATCAATTTGCAGCACTCAATTGCTCTTTATTGCCATTTACTCTCACCAGAGGGAACGCATTCTGACAGATAATAAAGGCTCACTGATGAGAAAGGCCATATTTTACTATTTTTGTGTTCATTTGATCTTCTCTTTGCCTCAAACTCAACACCCCACACTTGAAGAGATACCTCTCAACAAGTCTTTCCCTCTGACTCCTGTTGCAACTCACACAGTACACGCTTGCACATGAAAATTAAGCTCCTGTAAAGCATCCATCTCAACTGGAGGTACTGCATTTTAGGAAAACCATTTTGAACACCCTTTTGGAGAATAAACATTGCTCCCTTCAGAAGTAGTTGAGAAGTTCTTTGACAAAGTAGGGTGGGTTTTTTTGGTGATGTTACTCAGAGGAAGTAAAACTTCTGGCTACTCCTTTGAAAACCCTGGAATATCTGATCTTTTGGTGGGGAATTTAAACTCAAAGCAGCTCAAGACTCCCATATCCATCCAAAGCCTAGTAATTCCCCCAGCAACTCCAGTGTGCGTGGGAAGAAAGTTCAAGAAGTCAGATGGGCAGTTACTTTTAGAAAAAAATATTTGTTAGGAGTTAAATATTCTCTGATTGCTTCCTTCCCATCTATCCCAAAATTAAGAAAAACATGTATGTACAAAGGCCGTACCCTGAAACTGAAAAAAAAAAAACCTTCATAATCAATCCAAAATTAACACAGTCCTCCATCTAGAGAGATGGCTGTTCAAGCTTTGCTGCTACAACCTTTTTTTAATTATTTTTTTTTTTTAAGGCCACAATATTAAAAAAAGCTTACCTTTTTCCTCCTGCCAAAGATTAATCAAGATTCCACCCCCTCCCCCTTAAGTTACATGAATTAACACGGTCATTATTCTGTCTGACTCCGCACAGCGGTATTTTAGCTAAAAAATGTTTCTGTACATGTTTGAATTGGAACATTTCTGTCTGAAGGAAAGACTTGGGGTCACAGGTGAACTCGCCCTTACAAGACCACAGCCAGCAGCCCAACACTGGCATCTAATTCACTGGGACTGCATCAGTAACAGAGAAGAGCTAGATGATGCACTTTCATGAAATGCATCTCGTAATGCTGTAATATTTTTTTGAGAACAGTTACAGCCTTACAGAGAAGCAACTATCCATAGAATATAGATGGCTGAGCCCCAGCTGCAATAAATATGGGAAAAAAATAAACTGCCCTAAAGTTGCAGATAATTTCCTTTCATATTATTCCACTATTTCAGAAAATGAATCCAAACCCCA